CCCGCCCCCCATTTTTGGGACACCCCCCCACCCCCCCAGCAGGGCTGTGTCAGGGTGACAGCACAGCAGCCATCACCTGTCAAGCTGTGCTTTGGTACGAGCACCCGGCAAGGAGATGGAGCAGTGGCTGCCAGCGCCAGGAGGCACCAGCAAATTGGGTTTGCATCTTTCCTATGGACAAATTGAAAGTGCTTTTATTTTTTGTTCCTCAAAGCTCCTCAAGCCTCATCCTGTGGTGGGGGAGAGGCAGGGCTGGTGAATGTGCTGTGTGTTTTCTTCTGCTCCTGCCTGCTGTGAGTACCCATGGCCATCAAAGCGGGCGCAAGGCATAGGAGTACAAAATACTTTCTTTAAAATGCCCAATCAGTGCAGCCAACAGTGTTGCTTTCAAAGGCCTTTGTAGCAATAGATCTTTATTTCTTTTCCCAGACCTGCAGTTGTACGCAGCAGCATTTTCCAGCAGGGCCATGGCTTCCCGGCAGGGTGCAGGCAGCCCACTGCCTACTCTATGCAATTCCACAGAGCAGTGCTTGCCTGTACGCGGCTCCTGCCGTGGCGGTGGATGGTGTCCTGGGGGAAGGTGTAACAGCTGCTGAGTCCCTGGGGTGGGGGGGGTCTCCTTGGTGTGACCCCAGTGGGAGACCGCCTGCAGGGTGGTTCTTTCCCAAGTTCTCAAGGTGCCAAGGACAGTGATGAAGGTTGAGCCTGGTCTCTTGGGCTGAGTGGCCTTTCTGCTGGCCTTTCCCTTGCAAGTCCAGGGCGGCGAGCGGGCTCGCTGCCCTTCTGTTGGCTGAACAGGAAAAGAGGCTGCTGCTTTGGGAAACCTCCTGTCTTCACTACCAAGCTGCTGGAGGTGCGATGGTGTCTAACCACAGTGCCCGGTCTGACCTGGTTTTACTTTGAGCAAGTTAAGTGTCAGGGTGGAAACAGCATAGGAGTTGGGGAAGGGGAGCACATTGCCCAGAACCTGATCTCAGCCCTCCTATTTTAGCCCACCCAGAAATTAACAACAAAGGAAGGAAACCCAGGCACAGAGGTTTGGAAGATAAGGCTGTAGAGCATCAATGTCACCACAGCCCACTGCTGAGGAGATAATGCAATGGTGCCCACATGCCCTTCATGCACAGTCCTGGTGGCCTGTCCATCTCCTCCCCATCCCAGGGTGTCACTGCTGCATAGCCCAAACAGTTGGCTGGAGGTGTGCGGGGACCCAGGAACAGCTGACCCCACTAAAAGAGCTGGTGCAAACTACTTCACCCCTGTAGGTGAAGGGACTTAATCACAAAGAACCAATGGAAGCCGCAGGAAATAAATAAACTGCTCCAGATGTGCTGTATTTGACTCTGCTGTCCAGAAGGGGTGGCTGCAGGTGCCACCTAAGGTGTGCTTCCCATCCCTTCCATGGAGACACTGGGCAAAAGGGAACAAGTTCTAAGGAGACTTTGAAAACTGTTTATTATCTCACAGGCTGCTTCAGTAACATAACCTGATCTGAAGCCTACCTGGAAGCCCAGCAGCAAACTTCCACTAAATTACTTTGTGGGGTTTACCAGGGGTTTGGTTTTTTTTCTGTGCATGTGGTAGTTTATGGTAGCAGCAAGGAGAGCGTTGAAGGCAGCACCCCATCTTTGGATGTAGCCAGCCAGCACCCTCAGCTTCTGTTGCAACCCCTGCTCTGTTGGAGACCCCATCTTCTGCTGAGTCTCCAACCTTGCCCGTCCTCTCTCCCTCTGCAAAGCAGGGATAACCCTATTAGCTACCTCACAGGGGTATTGTGAGGAGTTGAGAGTTGGTCTTTGAGAAGTGCTCTATGAATGTTCAGTATTTGTGTTTTGAGACACCTTTCTAGGACCATGGTGCTTGATTCAGTTTTAATTTGGAGTATGTTTTTCAGTAACTGTGCAGTAGCTAAACCTACTTGTGTGTTAAAATACCTGGCCAGTATTTCAGGACAGGTACAGCTTGCCTTTCACTAGCAGCCCACTGGCCTCTGGAGCTTGCTGGGAAGCAACAAGAAGCATGTGAGGGCTAGTGGTCACTGCTTAGCTTGGTTTCTATAGCTTGGGGGTGTGTCCTCTCCTTGAAGCACACATAGGACTCCTCCTAATACATCTGAATGTTTGGCTCTCACATGCAAGATCTGAGACCTCTTTCCCCTCATTTTTACTTTTTTCCCTTCATTTCAGGCACACAGCCTTTGCACATCATGTTGCATGTGTACCCAGGCTCCTCACCCAGTGTGTGTCTAGGATGTTTTGCAGTATTCACATTTTAAAAGGTGGTTTGCTCTAATTTTAGAGCACTGTCAAATGCACAGTACCCATTGCATGGTGTTTGGTGCATGGTGTTCAGCAAGAATTTGGGGCAGTTCCTCCTCTCCAAGCCCTAACAGGAATAAGCAGCAAGGTCCTTCATTACCTCCAAGCCTGGGGGGAAGCCATCAGCTGGTTGCAGTGATGACCTTTGGACCAGGCAGACGTATTCCCACCAGTGTGCTTCTTGCTGTGAAGGTCTCCAAGCTCCTCCCTGTGCCACCTAAGCAGCTCTTCTCCAGCATCCCCTGAAAGCTGGCAGGTTTGGGAACAGTTCCTGGGGCAAAGTAGCCTGAGCTGGCAGGGAGCCAGCAACTTGCATTGCTTTCCTTGGAGTGATGCTCTCACTTCAGCACATCAAAGCATAATCTACTAGGAGATGACCGATCCTCTCCTCCTCTGTCTCTTGCTGCAGATGAAAGTGCAGCCATGGCAGGTCTGTGGCAGCAGTGGTGGGCAGGAGGTGGCCCAGCCTCAGCTTGTTCGCTGGGGATAGGATGGGAAGGAGAAGGGCAAGGGTGGCAGCTGAGCAGGACAAATAACCGGCCCAAGCCACACGCACCCCTGCCCCAGCCTTCTGCAACAGCCTCAGCCCTGTAGCAAAAGCCACTCCTACCATGAGCAAACTCAGGAAAGCAGCTCCCCTGTGTAGTTTTGAAGACCAGCGTTGGGGTTTTGGGGTTTTGATTTGGTTTGTAATTGAGCACTTTTGAGTGGCTGCAGCACCAGCAAGAGCCACAGGGACCGGTGCAGAGGACCGGCTCCAGCACAGGACGGCGGTCAAGGTCGGGGTGTCTCTGCCATGCACTTTGACAGCCCGGCTAGCATCTGCTTTTTAATTGCTACTCTTGTTTACAGCATGGAACGCTTCCTCCATGACTCTTTCTAATGTATTATAATTATTACTTTAAAAAAACATTTTTATGCCTGTGCTTTTTTTTTTTTTTTTTTGCTATTTTTTTGTAGGGAAGTTTTGGGGTGGAAAAAGAAGTCAATCATTCCTTTTTACACTGATCCAAACAGACTGTACAGAGTATTTGATGCTGTGTTCTACATGGTTGTAATGACAATGGTTAAAGAAGTTCAGCATAAAATCAGACTCCACGAGGTTTCTTACGGTGACAGATGCTGCTGCAAGGTGGTTGTGTCTCCTGGTGGCTTTTAGCTTGGTTCACTGGCTGTGCTTCAGCTGTGGCAGGGCCAACCAGCTCAATCTCTTCCTGCTTTTCTACCGCAGTTAAATCCAAGCATCCCCAGCAGCAGTGGAAAGAAAACTTTCTACGTACTCTCCTGGCTCGCTGAGCCAAGGGCAGCATCCTGCCCCCAGCCCCTGCGCATCCCTTCTGATACATGGCCGGTGGCTTTCATTTTTGGCTGAGATTTTAGGTTTGAAGTTTGTTTTCCTGCCCGCAGGCAGTGCTGGGAGGGTTGGACAGGACAGGGAGTGGGTGGACATAGCTCCTTGCATGGAGGGTGGGTGAGTGGGAGGGTGGGTGAGTGCGACTCACTGTGACGCTACATGAGTCAGGACTGAGTCATGCTTACGCCAGTCACTGAGAGCATAAGGTGGTGGTGCTGCTCATAGCTGAAAATGGATTTTAAAAAGCTGTGTGTGAGTAGCACCTCTGACACACCCCAGATTTCACAGCCAGTGCTTCCTGTGCTTAGATGGCCATGGTACTGTTGGCTTTGGGGTGTTAAATTTGGACAGTATACTGGTTTTCCCCAGAGAAAGCTGCCATTTGATACTTAAGCAACATGGTTACGGTAAACACAAGGTCATCTGTCCCTACCAGAGCAGCACAGAGGGCTCAAAGACTGACAGCAAAATGGAGGGGCCAGGATTAGCTAAATGCCACCCTAGGATTTAAGGGCAGTGCAAGAAATGTGGCATGCCCATGCATCGCCCAGTGGGTGCTGTAGGCTGGTATTCCTGCTTGTAGTAGTGCTCTGCCTCACCTAAGAAATCAAACAGGAACAAAAAAAGCTCCTACCTTGTTCTCCAGTGTCCTTAAGTTAGCTCATTTATATTAACTGGTTAAAACCTGGTCTGCAACCCTGTGAAAAAAAAAAGTCAACGCCTTCTGAAAGCACACCGTGGAGCAACAGTGCAGTGAGGATCAGCTCTTGGCACATCTCCCATATCATTTCATGCTGGATGCTAGCTCAGGGATCCTCCATCATGCGCAAGAGTGGGACATCCATGCACTGGAGTGAAGCAAACCTCATCCTTGTGGGAAACACTACCCTTCTAGACACTTCTGCTCCGAGTCCTGCTGGGTTTGAGGGATGGGGCAGGCAGAGTCCTGTTTCTCTGAAACAGCGTAGGTTCACTTGGTCATTGAAAGAAATGGAGTAAGACATTGCTTACTGGCATCCTTGGTCCCCACACCCCATGCATGTGCCCATGCATGTGCCCAGTCATGGCCTCCTGGCTGTGGCACGGTGCTGTCACCCTACCCCTGCGGGGAACGGGGACAGGCAGGGCTCTACCACATCACCTGACAGCATCCTTCCAGCTAATGCAGGAGCCACAGCAGTACCCAGCCTTGAACGGGTGCTGAACAGGGGTCCCAGGTAGGGTTTTTGGGCTGGGCTGATGG